ACGGTATTTTGCGGTGAATTTTGAGCCGTGTGGAAATGCATCATGAAGTAAATTCAACGAAAACATTATCACGCAACGATATCTTCACGTCTTTTGATCTTCACTATACGAAAGAACATACATTTTTTAGTATGTATGGGGAATTTCTAGTTAATCCAATAATAAATATGGCAGTTAGAGGCCTGCTAAGAGTAACATGTCGCCGGCTGAGGCGGGCTCGGCCGATGCGGGAAACGCAGCAATCACAATTTTGTGTTTACACGTTCATATTTCAATTGTTTACCAACCGATTTTCAAAATTCTTTCATCATAAGATTACCTGTACATTTCTTAGTCTTCTCACAAAATTTGACGTGAATCGAACGTAATCAGCGGTAGGGAGCGCGATATAAAGACGGAACCGTTCCGTTCCGTCCCGGCACAGTCTACAATTCAGGCGGGGGTAGCGGTCGGCGCCGGCTGCCGAGTCGCCGCGTCGCTGCGGCGACATGATGTTCACTTTACACCGCTATTACTAGAACAGTTGTGAACCGATTTTCTTATTGCTTGCACGATCAGATGTCCAATTCAATTCTTGACAGGTAGCCATAATTAATTTCGCATTAATCCTATGAGATATTGGCGAAAAACAGGAGGGGTGGGCGAAATTCGCTCTTCCCCCTCCACTGCGCGTGCTAACATACGTTTGCATATGTGCAATTTTCTTCAAAACTTATGAATGGCCCACTCTAATTTTTTCACAGGTTGTTAAGAATATGGTAGGCAATAAAATATATGAAAATGAGCCAAATCGAAGGTGACGTGTTTTTTGCTATTTCAATATTTGTGCTTAAGAACAGAGTTAAGCAAATTTCAAGGTCATATATTTAAGTAGGTGCAATTCTAAACAAATGCTTAAGAAATTACCTAAACAGTAAGGCTTATTTCATTCAAATCAAACAAGTACAACCAAAGTTATGGTCGTTCAAAAATATAAAGATGCAACATTTTGTAAAAATTTGATGCCCTATATTTAGAAGACCTGTGGTCAGAATGTGCAAAAAACATCAATGTAATGTCCGGGGCCACACAGGAACTCGCTCACAAATTTATAATGAAATCGCTGATGGTAAGGTGCAAAACAGCCGATTTTTGTTCGATTTGACGTGGAATGCCCCTATAATTAAACTGGACCCGCAACCACCTCCATTCAGGTGAAGCCGACAAGGCGCCATTTTACGTTGCCAAAAAACCGTGCTTTGAAAGGTCATCGAACCATTACAATTGGAATTGCGTCTAAACAGATGATCGGATCGAGATGCTGGTGGTACCGTTCGATGGGTAATGCCTTGAGGCAGGTGATGATGCATGTCACAGGTCATTCGGTGTCACGTGGCGCGTGCCACGTGCCGACAAAGTCGGGAAGGGTAAAAACCTTTAAGCGACGCTCCAAATTAAACGGTGCGCGGCACAGGTGCCAAATTCGCAGGTCACATGTCCCGGTGTTTGACCATTAACATATGGTATGCTCGGCAGCAGGGGGTGCGAAATGCACGCGCCAGGGGCGAAAAACATGTTTTGAGGATGCATCCTCCGATTCCGGAAAACCTTGACCTAGGCACACCAAATTTGGCACATTGACACTATTGGACACGCCGGCTTTAAGGCGCTGTGCAAATAGATGTGCTGGGGTACACGGTGCACGTGCTGTGCACGTGCAAACCTTTTGATGTTGCACTCTGTGTCACATATACGGGCAGAGAGGGTAGCGCTTGCAAGCTCAACATGCCAAATTTACACAGGCCACCCAGAATGCATTCCAGCATAGTTATTGAGCATATTTTTCTCCTGGTGGACCCCAAAAGTGCGCTCTGCACGTGCTGAAAATTATCCGCGCCGGGCGGTGGGGATGCTTGGACACCCCATGAAGGTTTATGTAAATATCTCGAAAACGGCGTTGTGGAGCGCAGCCGTTTTTTAGCACACCCTTTCATGCATCTTTTTCACACATGCTGCATAACTTTCAGACCCAGGCACTCAAGGTTAGGTCACCAGGTTACGTCCAAGTGGCCTTACCTTAGGAACAGTTATAATGCCCGTCATAGCTACACAGACTGAACAATCGGTCTAAAACGTTGGAGGCGAGTACCAAAGAGCACCATATAGGTATACGTAAAGTATCTTATCCATAGTAAAGTATCAATTATCCATAGTAACTGTAGCTTATCCATAGTAGGTGTCAACCACCATTGATGGCGTGGTAACATGTTACGAAGCAGGGCATATTTTAACAAATTTTTACTGCGTCCCAAAGTTGAGCAGAGGGCACGTGCTACGACTAAGGGCACAGGGCAAGGAACAGAGTAGGGCATTGAGGAGGGCAGAAAGTAGGGCACGGCAGGTTGCAGGGCATGGCACAGGACATTTTAGAGGGAAGGCCGGGTACAGGTCAGGGCAGACAGCAGGGCACAGGTCAGGGAACCGGACAGGGCAGGGACGCAGTGGGTCAAATTAGCAGGGGCTACGTCCCAAGGCGAGGGGGCTGCGTCCCAAAATGGGACGCAGTAAGTGCCTTAAAATATGCCCTGTTACGAAGGCACTAAAACTATAACTTCTTAAATGTTAAACTGAATGCTAAATTCGAAATCAGCTCCAAAAACTGTCCTAGAAACATTTAAAACTCGAAAAGGTGAACCAAGGTCATTAAAGGTCAGTGACCTTGACCTAATTTTCACGTGACCTTGACACCCACCATATTGCATGTGACCAACATCATATCACATGTTTGAACACTTGAAACCACGAAAAGACAGCAAACGCGCGGCTAGTGCGCGCCGATGTACGCCGAATCACGATTCCGGCCAAACATGGTCTCGTATCTATTAATAACTTAATATCAGATGCTGATTTACCGCTACTCAGTCAAGTTAGATCCATTTCTTCTTGGCCGCGGTCACCGGTCCAGGCCACCACATAATCGTATTACACCGCGCTTGCTCAATGCTCAGTTCGTATTGTAAAAGTGCTGCGGCACAGCATAGATGCAGGCGCTCTGCTACTGCCATCTATGGGTGAAAGATGAAGATAATGGTTATTGCGGTACAGTATCACTACAGGCGCAAACAACGTGCAAACAAAGATGCCTATTGCCTATGCTGCGCTACCGGGCGATGGTAGCGTAAATTTGCGTTGCTGGGTAGCTAAAAGTTTTGGAGCCCGAATTTGACAAAAGAAATGGTTTGCCGTTTTAAAGATCGTATCAAACAATCTGCGGTTACTCTCAATTCTTGCTTTGAGATAATTGGTGATTTGTTTATCAAACCGTGGTACTTCCAAGCTATTACCAGCACATAACGAACTTCAGGCGACATCGCTCGTCTATGTTTTGTGTCCTTTGCCTCACGTGAGGGTGATGGGTACTACCTACTGGAGTAGGCAAAAGTGATATCATATCCCATTTTCAAATGGATCAGCACCTAAATGGTGAGCCGACCAGGGGGACCGATGAACGTTGTTGTTGTCGTCATCATCGACCATAGGTGGCGGAACGGGGAAGACCTAACCTTGAGTGACCTGGGTCTGAAAGTTATGCAGCATGTGTGAAAAAGATGCATGAAAGGGTGTGCTAAAAAACGGCTGCGCTCCACAACGCCGTTTTCGAGATATTTACATAAACCTACATGGGGTGTCCAAGCATCCCCACCGCCCGGCGCGGATAATTTTCGGCACGTGCAGAGCGCACCTTTGGGGTCCACCAGGAGAAAAATATGCTCAATAACTATGCTGGAATGCATTCTGGGTGGCCTGTGTAAATTTGGCATGTTGAGCTTGCAAGTGCTACCCTCTCTGCCCGTATATGTGACACAGAGTGCAACATCAAAAGGTTTGCACGTGCACAGCACGTGCACCGTGTACCCCAGCACATCTATTTGCACAGCGCCTTAAAGCGCGTGTCCAATAGTGTCAATGTGCCAAATTTGGTGTGCCTAGGTCAAGGTTTTCCGGAATCGGAGGATGCATCCTCAAAACATGTTTTTCGCCCCTGGCGCGTGCATTCCGCACCCCCTGCTGCCGAGCATACCATATGTTAATGGTCAAACACCGGGACATGTGACCTGTGAATTTGGCACCTGTGCCGCGCACCGTTTAATTTGGAGCGTCGCTTAAAGGTTTTTGCCCTTCCCGACTTTGTCGGCACGTGGCACGCGCCACGTGACACCGAATGACCTGTGACATGCATCATCACCTGCCTCAAAGCATTACCCATCGAACGGTACCACCAGCATCTCGATCCGATCATCCGTTTAGACGCAATTCCAATTGTAATGGTTCGATGACCTTTCAGAGCACGGGTTTTTGGCAACGTAAAATGGCGCCTTGTCGGCTTCACTATCTTCCATAGGAGGTCCATTGGGATCGTCAGTCCAGTTTATTTATACGTCCGTGGTACCAACTGACCAAAACATCGAGATTTTGAACTCACATTGTGCAAACACGTTCCACGAGCGACTAACCACCAGCGCCTCTGACTGATGCGCGATAAACAGAGCGTGAATATCGACTCCACGGCTCATTATTGTCGGAATATCGAGTCTTCGTGTCAGCCGGGTGACTAATTATTTAGGGACAGTGCTGAGGGCCGGCGCCGGCCCGATCAGATATGAGGGTGGGGAGTCCAGACATTGGCTTCGATCTGGATTCCTGTGACGTTCTAGGAAAACATCGGATGCATGTTCCCATGATCCGATGCAAAGATCCGATGCATCACACATGTTTCGCAGTTACGCATATTTTCAATACTAATATAACTGTGACTCTATGTTGCGGAGAATATATTCACCAGCGAGAACAACGGGAAAACGATGACCATTACTCACTAATTGATTGACTGTGTCTAATCCGTGTACCCGTGTGTTTAATCCGTGTAATTAGGTGTGTGTATGCTAACGATACGTGAGCTTACCCGTTTGCTCTCACCCTCAGGTATTTGAAGGCTCCATAGCCGTATCTAGGTAATTCACCTTCATCTTAGTCATCAACTGAAGAACAGTCTTACAGACCAAACGTCATCTGAGAGTCGCGAGACCATCCGAGGTCAACTGAGACCATCATGGCGATAGGCCATGTGGCAAAACTTTGGCTGGTGGCCCTGCTGGTAGCAGGTGAGTCATCCACTTATTGCATGCATCATTACGGAGCGAGCGAAGCGAGCGTAGTCTTTCCTTAGATTAACCCGCGCCCTGCTGGGGGTCCTGGATTTCCACGCCCTGCTGGGGGGGGGTGTTTGAACACCCCCCCTTCTAACTCGGCTCCTGGGCCACGTAGCGATACGCGGAAGGCGGCGTTCGAAAGAGCGCCAAAAATAATGAGGAAATCACTTCGGTCAATTTTTTGGTCAGGTCAAAGGTCAGGTCACCAGAGGTCATTGAAGGCAAAATTTCGCCGATTTCCAGGTCGAATGTCGACAATTTCCAAGAAGCCAACGCATAACTCGGGAACCAATAGAGCTACAGCGCCGCGGAAAAGCGCATTCGATAGCCCTATTAACGCCCTTTCTGAGTAATCTTCTCAGATTTGACCTAACGTCAACGGTTTTGCCTGCAGGGGGCAAAAACTGCAAAAATAGCCGATTTTTTCGGAAACAGTTTTTCTGCAATAACTTTTGACTCAAGCCTTGTACGAGCTTACTTTTACCGGCATCGTGTTCCTCTCGTCAAGACGCATCGAATGAACTTTAACTTGACCTTGAAAGGTCAACTTGAAAATTTGACCTCAGGTCAAGGTCATGACCTGACCGGAAAGGGTCATGATGCATATCAGTCGATCCGTATCGTTGAGCTGAACACATCTAAGGCGTTTTCATCGCTCTAGCATGCCTCTATCAAAAGTTATTTGCGAAAAACTGTTAGATACCATTCGTGACCTAAGATGACCTCAGGGCATAAACAGGGGTCACGGTCACCATTTTCATGTACAGTGTGTCTAAACCACTTGTAATTCAGTGTTTGGGAGTGTTTATAATGTCTTTCGTCCAAAAGAGGCGCATTTCAATTTTCTCCCATTGACTTATAATGGGGAGGTCGCAAAATTGACCTGACCTTAGGTCATCGATATCAAAATTTTGAGATAAACATTTTGTACATGCTATTGTCCTTAGCAATCGCTGAAAGTTTCAAAGCGATCGGTCACTCGGTGTAGCTATGACAGACATTGAAACTTTTTATGAGGTGAGGTCACTTCAAGTGACCTGGTGACCTGACCTTGAATGACCTTGGTCTGAAATTTTCACAACATGTGTAGAATTGATGTATGATAAGGTGTACCAAAAACGGCGGCGCTCCGCGCCGCCGTTTTTGAGATATTCGCGAAAAACCACAAGGGGGGGTGTTCAAACACCCCCCCCCAGCAGGGCGCGGGTTAACGGAAATTTCTGAGTATGAGCGGCCGGCCGGCCGGCCGGCCGTGGTCACGCTTTTGCGAGGCTTATATCTCAGCAACCACTTGACCGATTTACACGCGGCAATTTTTGTAGGGTAGCTTCATTCCTTCTACCAAGTATTGGACTATTCCCGATGCAAGTGGGTGACCCCTTATGCACGTGCCACGCGCAAAACGAAGAGGTGTCCGTTTTGCAATTGTTGCAATATCTCGGTAACTACTTGGCCGATTGCGCTGAAAGTTGGCATGTAGGTAGGCACCCACTAGGCACTGCATATCCATGTGCCAGAGTTGGGGCGCTGCTGCACGTGCGCACGTGCAGGGGTCGTTTCCAGATCTCGAGAACGGCTCCACCGATTGCGCTCAAATTTGGTACACAGTTAGGGACCGGTTAGTAGGGTGCCGTGCGCAAGTCAATTGGGACCCATTTTGCACGTGCGCACGTGCAGGGTGCCGCTTCCAGATCTCGAGAACGGCTGGGCCGATTGTGCCCAAATTTGGCACATCGCTAGAGACCGGTTAGTAGGGTGCCGTGCACAAGTCAGTTGGAGGTACCCCCTCGCAATTTCGCACGTGCAAGGCCCACCCTCTCGCTCGCTCCGTTAGTCGCCCCAAAAGGCGTTATACTGGTTATATGAGCTGGAACACTATTGTATGATGACAACACCTTATATATCACCTTATCTCGTGCAATTTTTGTATGTTTTTTACACCATGCTCTATCCAGCTTCGATCGCCTGTAACCGGATACAAAAGCACGTTAGCTCGGACGAGATTCCTCGCTTGTGGTGTCACTTGATTTGATGCTGCTTCAGGGCTTAGTTCCTTTTGCTATAGAAAGTTCTTCTATGCCGCACTTTAGCCCATTTGAAACTTACAGGAATGGAATGTATAACGTTATATAGCAATGATGCTTCGCTTGTGACGGCTACAAAGTATAGTTTTGTTGGGCACCGTACAACTATCGGACTAATTCCACTGTCTTTGCTTTGGTAAAATAACAAAGCAACCAATTCCGCTAACAAGTTATAAATTTCACATACGTTTTGCCTCGTGTTAAATTCCTAATTCTCATTGTGGCATACTTGAATCAAGCCTGCATGTGCTGTATACAGACCACGTGCATGCCTTTTCAATGAGCTGAACGTTTGCTTACTAATTTATGCAGGATCTAGTCAGGGAGTAATTTCGCTCCGTCTTCCAGTTACCGTTTTGATTTATTAATTGAATTTAGTTGCAGCCACATTGCATAACGACACGACAATGCAAAGGGCTTCTAAAAGGAGACATTGTTAGAAGGAAAGCTCTGTTTTTCGGCTTTATTTTCTCATGCGGTGATATTTTTGAGAACAAGTCCGATTACGATCTAACAGCGAGTGCCGTTTCTTCACAAGGCAAGATCGATTCTGAATTACCATTTTTGGTAAATGCCGTTTTACGAAAGATAAACGATCCGCGCTTAGCATGGAAAACGTATTATAATCTTTATGTTTGTTTTCTGTTTTTGCTTCAAATGTTTTATCTTGTTACCAGTTATTCCTGTCATTTTTCAGTTGCACTGTCTGCGACAGCCACAGCTGCCACGACAGCCGCCGCTGGCACGGAGACGACTGCCAAAACTGACGCTGCAGATGACAGCATGGCAGCCGATGGCGCCGTGGAGAAAACCACCGCGGCGCCTCAGGTCGACCCAGCTCCTGAAGATGGCCCCATGGACGACCCAGACGAGGACGAAGACGACCCTCCCACCGGCGTCGGAGCCGCAGCTGATGCCGGAGCCTCCGTGGGAGATGATGTCGAAGAATCCGTTGAAGAGGACGATGAAGAGGAAGAAGAGAAGGCGGGGACTGGGAAGCGGTCGGTGCAGGACACACTGAACATCGTCAGGGGAAAGGCGAGCTCGACCTGGGAGGCCACGCAGAAGAAGCTGAAAGATATGTTTGAGGAAAACAAGGAGAAATTCAAGAACACCGTAGGTGAGTTCCTACCTGATCGTTTTGATGCAATACATACAAAAAAAGAAATATAGATACCCTAAGGCTTAGATAAAAGTGATATGCCCTGCTGCTCTAACTTTTTGGAGAAGCCGTTTGCACTTCTTCAATGCAAGACGAAGTGCAATCGCGATTGATATAAGAAGCTTGAATGTGCTTGGCCTGCACAACTGCCACGCAACAGTTTTTTTTTTGGATGACAGCACAGTGGTATTTGGCTGCTTCGGAATAAGATTTGATGGGGGGGGGGGGCTATATTGCAGAGCCAGGTTGAAACGAGGGCCAAACATTTTGACGTCTACGACCTACGTTCCAGTTCCTACTAATGTTCGTTTGAACGTTATACGCTGCATAATTACTTAGAACAATTAGCACAGATTCGTCAATTACTATCACTGCAAATATTTTCAATCATGTTGAGTGCCTATGTGCTTTTTGCAGGACTCCAGTGACCGACATAGTTCATTTCATAGCACGCTCTTTAGTGGCACACGGCCTTTCAGCTAATGAATGGGCATAGACCTGGCGACCTATTCATTGAATATGCCAATGCCTATGGGCTATGACGCGCCGGCCGAAAGGACATCGTCATAGGTGCTTTGAAGTCCAACTTCAATACAAATGAGCTTGGACTTTAGTGCCAATAACTGCAGTGCTCTACTGCCCACATCATATGGCTCGAAAGGCCGTGTTCTATTGACCTTCAACCCACACTGTTGGCTACTTTAGCCGTGCATGTTTTGCTTTTTATCCCTAACTAGGACTACGAAAATAAATGAATAGCAACTAGCAAGCTGTGCCCAGTGCTGTGAGAAACGCTTCAAAATAACGAGAAAAAGATAATGAAAAAACGACGGGTAGTTACAGTGCATTTAAATCGAGCTCTGTATACGTTTGCCATTAGTTACCAAAGTCTCCTAGAGCTAGCTTTCCATGGCTGGTCCTGATTCAACAAAATAATCTTCCTCCGTCTTTCCGGTGGTAAGGTTCCTTTTTATCTGGGAAAATGAACGCTTTATCTGGTCCTTTTATCAGCGCGTGCTGCACGAAATTCCCTCCGGCATGCAGAATTACTGAGTTAGGGATGATCGAACGCAGATCGATCGGTGTTCTAGCCTACGCCCCTGAGGACAGCTCGGTCGTTTACATATAGCACGGTGACTGAGATGTCTTATACTTCCCTCCACGGGCGTAGGAACGTCATGAAAAGTGGGTGGGCCACCCTGTCAAGGGGCCTCCTCTTCCAGGGGGCCTCCTATTTTCAGGGGCCTCCAACTTTTGCCTCATCCTGCTGGCTGCTTTCAAGTATGACCTCCAAATCTAGCTTCTGAGATCAGGCAGATGTACCCAGGGGCGTAACCGCTAAAGCGAACAGTGCGGAAAGTCCGCACCATTTTTAAAACTTCTTCCCCCTCCGATTTTTTTAAAAATCTATTTGCCGCAAACGGCGCATGACCCCTGAAAACCCTTACACAAATGTCTTCCTCGTTTCCCAGGTGCCCCCATTAGCTTCATAGGCGCCCTCTTTGGCATATAAGCGCCCTATGTGCCTATAGTCATCAGAGACATCCCTTTATGTCCCACAGTCGCCCCGTTGTCGCATACAGGGTTACAAAAAAAAAAAAACGGTCATCACCAAATTTCGAATAACTTCGGAAGTCTTATTCAGATCATCACCAAACTTCGGCCACTTAAGGTCACACCATATAGCATACATCCACCAAGTTTCAAGTCTTCACTACGAATACTTTTAGTACAGTGTGTGTTTTACTGACGCTCCACAATGTGCTCCTGGTGAGCGCCACGGCGCTGCAGGGCGTAGGCACACTTGCATCCGGCGGGCAAAGTTGTCGATAACCCGATGGCTGTGCACTTTACAGAGTGCAGTGGCCTCTGGAGACAGTGCTCGGGGGGTGTGCTACCCCTGAAACGTTATTCTTATCGGGTTATCGGCAACTTTGCCCGCCGGATGCAGGTGTGCCTACGCCCTGCAGCGCCGGGGCGCTCACCTGGAGCACATTGTGGAGCGTCCGTAAAACACATTGTGGAGCGTCCGTGTACTAAAAGTATTCGTAGTGAAGACTTGAAACTTGGTGGATATCTGCTACATAGGTGTGACCTAAAGTGGCCGAAGTTTGGTGATGATCTGAATAAAACTTTCGAAGTTATTCGAATTTTGGTGATGACCGCTTTTTTGTGTCACCCTGTACAATGTGCGCTTATCATGGGCGTCTCTCTTTTATGGACACTTGAAGGCGCCTCTCTTTGCCATGCCGGCGCCCCTGTTTCTTATGAATGCACCCCCATGGCATTGATCAATTGCAATTTGCAGACCTCTATTGCATGTGGACGCCCATATATGTAGGCCTCAGAGGCGCCCCTCTTTCGCATTGAGGCGCCCCTATGGGCTTCATAGGCGCCCCTCTATTGCACGTAGGTGCCCTACTGTCTCAGAACCGCTCCCCTTTGGCATACAGACGCCCATCTTTCGTACGGAGGAGCCGCTGTGGTTCTTAGAGACGGCATGGTGCTCCGCTCCCAGACGCAGATGGGGCTCTCGGAGTCGACAGTGTGGGACCTTCAGTCGCTGATGGGTGCCCGCCAGATGTGGACCCTCGGAGACGCCGGTATGGGGCCCTCAGAGATGCCGGTATGTGGCCCTTAGAGACACCGGTGTGGAACCCTCAGATACTTCAGTGTGAAGCCCTTACAATTGCTGGTGTGGAGCTACGAATGCGCTGGCTTAAATCCCTCAGAGGCCGGTACATGGACATTAGAGCTCAGTGAGAGTTTGTGTGGTGCCTTCAGTGGCCTTATGGAGCCGTTAGACATCAACATGGTGCTCTCAGGAGCCGGTGAGTCCTCAGAGTCACCGGTGTGGGGCCTTCAGAGCACCGAGATACTGGTTTGGGGCCCTCAGAGATGTCGGTGTGGGTCCTTCAGATGTACATATACATAGAGCCTTGAGATGCACAGGTGTGGTGGCCCACAGAGGCGCCGGTGTGGGGCCCCCAGAGCCACCGATATAGGGCCCGAAGAGACACTAGTATGACCCTCAAAGGCGCCGCTGTGTGGCGCTCATAAACACTGGTGTGGAGCCATCACAGGCGGGTGGAGCCGTTAGAGGCCGGAAAGGGCCCTTAGATGCCTACAAGGAGCCTTCAGAAGCCGGCGTGGCACCCTTATGGGGATAAGCGTGTCTACTTAGGAGCCCTTGAGGTGCTCTCATCATGGGCTCTGTGGGGCCCTACCGAGCCGAAATATGGCCACGGCCAGTTGCCGCCGCATGGCTCTTTGGACTATCATTCTCAGGGGCCTCATCTGCCTAGTTTGAATAGAAGGGCCTCTCAGACCATCAGTCTCATGGGCCTCCTCTGGCTAGTATAAATAGAAGGGCCTGTTAGACCATCAATCCTAGGGGCCTCTTCTGGTTAGTATAAATAGAAGAGCCTCTCAGACCATTAATCTCAGGGGGCCCCTGTGGACAGTATAAATAAAAGGGCCTCTCAGACCATCAGTCCCGGGGGCCTCCCTAGAAAAGTGTAAATGTGGATAGAGGGCCCCCTCAGATTCATTACGAGTGGACCTCTCTGACTATCAGTCTCAGGGGCCTCTTGTGGCCAGTATGCACATAAGAGCCTCTCAGACCATCGGTCTCAGGGGCCTCTTCTGACTATTTATTTATTACTTATTTATTTGACATCGTAGGCTCATTCCACAAAAATGGCTATTCCTGAACCAGGGTCGGAATATAAAATGATGGGTGTCGTGGGAAAAACATGCGCACGCACGCACACAGACAGACATTCGTTCGCAGTCACTCTCTCACAAACGTGTCGTCATGAAGTATTGCTAACGGTCGGCCGCCTGTTGTCGCAACAAGTGCCGGCGCAACTCTGCCTTGAACGCGCGCAGGTTCAGGTCACACATCGCCGGTGGTAGGCTATTAAAAGCTGTCACGGCGGTAAAGAGGAATCGTCTCCTCCCGGACTCCGATTTGATTCTGGGCACATGTAGCATATCTATCTGTCTTGTGGCTCGCTGATGTACGTCACGTCTATGCACTATTCTACTCGCGATTGACTCGGGCTGCGCAGTGACCAGCATACGTTTTAATAGGGTCAGCACATGGTATAAGTACATGTTACGCGCGGACAGCCATCCCAGGTCACGCAGGACGTCACTAACATGATCAAACTTCCGACGCCCCGATATCACACTGGCTGAGAAATTCAGCAGCTTTTGCAGACGTGCGAGCTGAGTGGTATAGTGTGGACTAGTGTGGATAGAGGGCCCTCCCAGACCACCGGTTTCAGGGGCCTCCAGTGGCCAGTTATATGAACAGAAGGGCCTCACAGCCATCAGCCTCGGGGGCCTCTTCTGACTGGTGTGAATATGAGGGCCTCTCATACCATCAGTCTCAGGGGCCTCCTCTGCCTAGTGTGAATATAAGGGCTTCCCAGGCCATCAGTCTCAGGGGACTCTTCTGACTGGTGCCGGATTGAGGGACCTCCCAGACCGAAAGTTTTGGGGGTCTCCTGTGGCCAGTATGAATAGAAGGGCCTCTCAGTCCATCAGTATCATGGACCTCTTCTGCCTGGTGTGATTATAAGGGCCTCTCAGGTCATCAGTCTCAGGGGCCTCCTCTGACTACAGTGTAGATGGATAGGCCTCCCAGACCATCAGTCTCAGGGGCCTCTTCTGACTATTGAGGATAGAGGGGCCTCCTCTGACTAGTGAGGGTAGGGGGCCTCGGCTAGACCGCCAGTGTCAGGGGCCTATTCTGACTAGTGTGGATGGAGGGGCCTCCCAGACCAGTGTGGATATTGGGGCCTCCTCAGATCCACTAGGGCCTCTCAGGCCATCAGTCTCAGGGGCTTCGAGTCGAAGCCTTCGACTGATAAGTATGAACAGAGGGCCTCCTTGGATCCATCACGGTCCCTTGGAGTCCGTGCGTGGGGATTCGTTGAACTTATTTTTATCGAGTTTGTTTATTCTGGAAGGTGACGACGTCCTCTCAAATCGAGACGAGGGGCCTCGAGTAAAAAGTGGGTGGGCCAAAACACATGGTTGGCCCCCCCCACCTCGAAAAGTGGGTGGGCACTTGCCCACCTGGCCCCCCCCCCCTGTTCCTACGCCTATGCTTCCCTCCACAAACGGGAAACTATGCCATAAGTGGTGGCTGGCGCTCGAAAGCTATAACACAAATGTTACAGCTCAGTTCAGCGGAAGCATGACAATGTTTTCCCAGATTTGATTTACTAAAAATGATCTTACATCGCGAATAATTAAAATCATAGCACAACAAGGGGTGGTTATAAGCCCATGTTTACAAGCAATAGCTCTCTAACCTAATTTTAATCAGCCTCAAAATATGTATTGCCATCCTTTCCTATCCCAAAGCAACAAACAATTTTTCGTATACCTAAACTTTTTCTTAGCATTACATCTGGTAGCTTTTTTGCCGATTATGGTGAAGCGTTTAGCCTATATACAGTCAGAGACAGAGTGAAAGAGCACTCGTGAGTCTGCGCCAGTGGTACAAAAGGCCATTTCCAAACCTATAGAAGCCTATCGAACCCAGTATTGGATGTTTCTTCAACGATGTTTCTTCAATCGCTTTTAAGTTTTTTTTTGCCTCTGTTTGATGTCCACATCAAAAGCGGCTATTCGACGTTGTAGCCTGAACCCAAACAACAGACCCGCAGGCGCCATTCATGAGCCCTCTCTCCTCCCCTCCCACTCTACCCAGACGGACAGAGGACCGTCATGCCGCTGACAACCCCAATGTGTCACCATGCCACTATCCGTGACCAGCCCCGGTCCGGCGCGTCGAATCGCCTAATGAATAGGACCGGCCGTGCCAGCCCCCCCCCCTCCGTCGGACCCCCCTCCCTTCCGGAGGTCAGGAGAAAGGTGTGGGGAGGGGAGGGGTCGTGCAAAGAGGGACGTGGGCTCCTGGCACCAGTTCATGCACACAAGGTCTTGTCACACGAAAATGGCGGCAGGACAGAGGCTATTGTTGGTGTTTCGCCATGTCGGCTATTGATGGTGGTGTGTGGAGGATGCTGAAAAAATGTGACCTCTTGGGTGCTTTAGCGTGATAATCACATTGTAAAATATCATAGAAGCTATTGATTCCTCCTGCAGTTGGAACGGTGTCGAACTGGGAAGCTAACACCATCGTTGCGTAGGAAATAATAGGGTATTGAGTGGCTCACATCAGCGAGAGCCTCAGCCACTAATGAGTTTACTTGCCATCGACGCGGGCAACGATATTTGCATAATCTGTAATAAACCCCAATATCATCCGAAGTCGAGTAAACAGACGTTATTTTGTAATGACGACGGCTAACAGCCGCGCAGAATACTGCTTCAGATAGGCAGGATTTTGCTATGTCTTTGGCGTAACTTAGTTTTGCGATTGCTCATAGTTACCAACAGATATTAGCCCTCCAATATGCTTCCCAGCCGAGTTCGGCTTGTTATATGTCGGCGTATCGATTTATATTAGTCACAGTCACGCCTTGTCACATATATTCTCTGACTATATATCATGTCACCACGACCACCGATAGGCTTCGGTCACACGCTGTTGCCTCAAACAGATGTCTTCAGTCTTCAGACACCAACCGTCGCCGCGCGCGGCCGGGGTCGATCATGTCGCCTGGAGCACTGTGACGTCACTGAGCCCACCAGTGACGTCACTGTTTAACTCCCGCCCACTGTCCACAACAGAAAGCGTCCATGGATACGGTAGTCGATAACATTAGTGAAGTCGATTGTTAGAACCATTGGGCCGCGTTAAGCTGTTGCTTTTTCGTTGGTATATTTCGTTGATACGTAAAATTTCATTTTATTTGAGAGGGAGAGAGAGAGAGAGAGAGAGAGAGAGAGAGAGAGAGAGAGAGAGAGAGAGAGAGAGAGAGAGAGAGAGAGACAGAGACAGAGACAGAGACAGAGAGACAGAGAGACAGAGAGACAGAGAGACAGAGAGAGAGAGAGAGAGAGAGAGAGAGAGAGAGAGAGAGAGAGAGAGAGAGAGAGAGAGAGAGAGAGAGAGAGAGAGAGAGAGTGAGAGAGAGAGATAAAGGAAGAGAGAGAGAGGGGGAGAGAGAAAGGAAGTGAGAGAGAGAGAGAGAGAGAGAGAGAGAGAGAGAGAGAGAGAGAGAGAGAGAGAGAGAGAGAGAGAGAGAGAGAGGAGAGAGAGAGAGAGAGAGAGAGAGAGAGAGAGAGAGAGAGAGAGAGAGAGAGAGAGAGAGAGAGAGAGAGAGAGAGAGAGAGAGAGAGAGAGAGAGAGAGAGAGAGAGAGAGAGGAGAGAGAGAGAGAGAGGAGAGAGAGAGAGAGAGAGATAAAGGAAGAGAGAGAGAGAGGGAGAGAGAGAAAGGAAGTGAGAGTGAGAGAGAGAGAGAGAGAGAGAGAGAGAGAGAGAGAGAGAGAGAGAGAGAGAGAGAGAGAGAGAGAGAGAGAGAGAGAGAGAGAGAGAGAGGAGCTTGTATATTATCATGATTTGTGGTTAGGTGTGATATTAGGTTAGGTTTCGGTTTGTCAGGCGACAAATTTGTGGGAATGGCTATCATTCATTCATAATTTATAATGTTGGATAAGGACAAACCATTACATAAAACAGCTGTATGTATTTAGTATGTCTTGCAATCTGTGTCTGTACGAGTGACGCTAATAATCCGTTTCCCCCTCTACCCAATGCAGCTGGATGGCCAGATAAGTAAGTTTTTGCTTGATAAACGCCAAAAAGTCCTTGCTTCTTCATGGAAAACAGCGTCGGCAAATGTTCATGCACTGCCAGGCAGATCACCGGTGCACTGATATTCCATAAATTGGATATAATGCCTCGTTTTTCCTCACTTAGCTGGATTTGTCACTAATCTGCCATCGTACCGCAAAAATTAATGTATCCGACAAATATTGGGTGTGTGTATACTACATCTGCTAGGAAACAATTGTTTTATCACGGTATACCTATTTGAACTCAGCTATCATTTTCAGAGTCAAGAATAAGTTCAGCAAACTACCTGAGGATGTCAAAACTAAAATTTTCGGCGGAAACGTCAAAGGTCTCACTCAGGAAGAGATCAGCCAGCTCAACAAGGGTCAGCTCCGGATGCTGATGCCTGTAAGTTATCTCTCTTTGATGTGGCTAAAGTGAGCTGTTGTGTTGTCGGGCTTGTCAGGCTATTGGCTAGCCTGCAGAACTTTTGCCATAGTTTGACCTGATTTGAAATTACAATGGTCACTTTTGGCTCTGCTCGCTGCAAATATCGCTCATGTGATTTTGCATTTGTGAAAATATAACCTGTAAGTGATGTAAAAGACAGCGACAGCGGCAGAGGTGGATCCAGCTCAGAGTTTTTTTTTTGGGGGGGGGGGGCAAACCATAACAATTTATCGATTCTTTCCATGCATCGTCCATAGGCGTAATGTTAAAATTCTGCCGTTTGGGGGGGGGGCAAATGCCCATTTTGCCCCCCGCCCTGGATCCGCCACTGGACAGCGGTTCTGATTTTTTCCAACAGAGGAACAACCTAGCTGTCTGAATCAAACCATCCAAGAGAAGGTGTTTGAGCGTTTCAAGGCTCTTAACGACGGCCAGAGCATGCGCCGCGTGCTGGAAACGATGAACGTAGAGAACAAAATGGACCTCATCGGAAAGATCGCTGAAGTTAACGCCAAACTAGGCAGCAATGAGGTGAGAAACGGGATATCAGACAGACAGACAGACAGACAGACAGACAGACAGACAGACAGACAGACAGACAGACAGACAGACAGACAGACAGACGTACAAATTCTGAAGTTTTCACTTGGCGTTTCTTAATTATCGACACATTTTCTAGACGCGCCTTTATTACCTTGACTTCTTGGCATCAGCTTACTAAACATCTTCTATTTTTGTAATAATGGCAAAGACATGTGATATACCCACTGAACTCTATAATATATCTCTATGTCTCTAATAATTGGCCTCACTGTGGGGATCATTTTTTTTTTGGCATTTCTCTGCAGAGGGCCAAGGAGCGCGTTGTGATGAGCGTGGTGGACAAGCTCGGTGACCCGAGGAACTGGACAGAAGCCGAGGTAGACAGCATGAAGGCAAAGGGCATCCTGAGGCACTACCCGCCAGCCAGGCTGACCAGGCTCAACAACACGGCCCTCATCAACAAAATGTGAGTGAGCTACGGTGTTTCCTGTTTGTTTCTTTGCTTGCTGGGTTAGATGGGCGTGACGAATTTCAGGTCGTTTTGCGGCTGGATACCTAGTTTTCTTCGAAACAAATGTAAATCAGTTGTCTGGGCGGGCAATGAGTTGCATTGTAAACTATCCATATTTCAACATACAGTTCTAATCAATCACGTAAGAGCTGTAGTTATATTTTCTTAATTTCACGTAGCCAACCGGCTTGGCAAGTCAAAGGTTATTGAACGCTACGTAAGATTCATCAAAGACCCGCCGACGTTCGCGTCCATTTCTCAGTTTTCTTCAGTCTATACCGCCTGCAATCGATCTTATCGATATATCGACGTGCAGCCGCTCCATTGCTTTGGTCGTGATGGCAAATGACAGATAGTAAAAACACTGACAACCAAAAGCGGTAGAAGTAGCATGGAGTGAGCGGATTGAAATGAGTGGGACTAGATCGGTTTTGGTTTTGATAATAAGTCAGAGGTGAAGGTAGTAGATATTGAAAGAGTTGACGTTTTACGGATAGAAGAGAACATGTTGTTGGTTTTTGTTTTTGAATGGCGTTGATTAAATGGACGGAGAATTTGGCTAATCGGTCGATTTTCAAAAATATATAGAAAAAGTAGAAGTAAAAGTTGAAAAACTGAAGGGTAATGGAGGCATCAGCATCAGACTTGGAGGCTTTACAGTACACGCAATAGGTGAAATGCTAGATCTATCAGACAGCTACTGAAACAAGTGTTTACGGCTTAGAAAACCCTGGCTTTTGTGACATCGGGGACAAAAACGGGGACACCTTGTGTGTGTGTGTGTGTGTGTGTGTGTCATTAGGCCACACATACCTAGTGTGTTTTAGAGCCAATGTAGATTCATGCTGTAA